AACTTAGCTCCTGCTTTAACATAACTAATCTTAGTCCAGTCTCTTACTATTTAGGGATTAAGATCCGGCGTAAATAGTTCTCCTCTAGCAAATACTCAAAACTATTCCTTACCCAAGCGGCATATACCCGCTGGATAGTTAAGTTAGCCAAGGAGCGCCTCCCTAGGGAGCTAAAGGACGCGCCTATTCCTATAGATACTAACTTAGTACTCGTAGTAAATAACAAGGAGGCTACCAAGGACAATTAGCGCTTCTATTAATCTCTTATAGGGTTACTAATATACCTTATGCTTTGCACTTAACCTAATATTACTTACGCAGTCTTACAGCTTAGCCGGTTTACATCTAACCCCTTAAAGCAGCATCTAGACGCCAGCCTCTGGGTAGTTTAATACCTACAGCGAACTGTTATATAGGGACTTGTAATTAACTCTAACCAGAAAGGTAACCTAATTAGGTACACTAATTCTAACTGGGGTTAAGAGAAAGGCCGCTAGTTAACTAGCGGCTACGTATTTATACTTAACAGTACTGCAGTAAGCTGGAGCTTAAAGCGGCAGACTACTATTACTCTTTCTAGCTGTAAGGCTAAGTACATCGCCGAATTAGAGGCTACGAAAGAGGCTGTTTGGCTAGGGCACTTACTTAAGTCACTTAGTAGTACAACAGCAGGTAGGTACCTAGGCCCAGCTACTGTAACGGTGTACAGCGACAACGAAGGGGCACTTACCCTTATAAAGAACCCTATGTTTTATTCAAGGACAAAGCACGTAGACATTTGCTACTACTTTATTCAGGAGATAGTAGAGCAAGGGCTAGTAAACCTGCAGTATGTGCCTACTAAACAAAACACAGCTAATAGTATAACGAAGCCGCTTTAGGGACCTACCTTTGCAGACTTTTAGCAACGACTAGGGATAAAGGAGGTGTTTAAGGAAGGACAGCCTGGCGATATAGTATATAGGCTCCCTAAAACAAGCCTTAAACGGGCAAGGATTAAGGGGGAGCTACTAGTACAATAGCACACAGGCCCGGCGTCTACACTTACTGTTTTTACTTACTATAAACCCCCTATTGCTTATATTGGCGTTTGGACTTTGGATTCCTTGCTTTAAACCCCCTATTGCTTTGTTTTAACTTGGTACTACGTTTACCTTATAGGGGAGTGTTAAATACAAGGTTAGCGTAGATAGCTAAGTAAGCAGTAGATAAAGTATATAAGATATTCTACTACTATTCTAGGTAGTTAGTTAATAAAGAATTATCCTTTTAATAGTATAAATTACAGAATTTAGTAAATTATTAAATCTTTAAACGCATATTGCACCTCTTAGTATTCTGGGAGGTATACCTGTTTAAGCGTTATTTATACCCTTAAGCTCTGCTTAGTGTTGGGTATTTATTCCGCCTCTGCGTATAAACTTGCCTTAAAATAATTAGCAGCTAGTGTACTTATTTCAGAGCGCAGTAGATTTTTATTACACGCTAGATTAACGTACAGCGGCACCTAAGAAGCCTTATTTAACGCTCTTGACCTTAGATTAGGTAGGGATACCCGCTAAACTTAAGTATATTAATAAGCAGAGGAAAAGAAACTAATAGGGATTGCCCTAGTAACAGTAAGTAAAGCGGTAACAGCTTAAATTTAAAATCTGGCCCTTTTTGGGGTCTAAGTTGTAATTTGTAGAGGGCGCTTTAGTATTAGCAGCGGTCTAAGTTCCTTGGAATAGGACGTTACAGAGGGTAAGAATTCTGTACGTAGTCGCTAGCCTTTACCGTATAAAGCCCCTTTGACAAGTTGAGTTGTTTGGGAATATAGCTCTAAATAGGAGGTAAATTTCTTCTAAAGCTAAATACTGGCTAGAGACTAATAGTGTATAAGTAGAGTAATTAAAAGATAAAAAGTACTTTAGAAAGAGAGTTAAACAGTATATAAAATTATTAAAAGGGAAGCGCTTACAGCTAGACTTGCCTATAGTTACTTATCTGGGCTTTTGCCCAGTACACTCTTCTATAGGCAGGCCAGCATTAGTTTAGGCGGTTGGATAAAGGTCTCTATTATATACCTCTCTTTAGGGAGAACTTATAGGGGAGACGATATGTAACTAGCCCAGACTAAGGTCTATGCATCTGCTAGGATACTGGCGTAATAGCTGTAAGCGGCCCATCTTAAAACACGGACTAAGGAGTCTAATATCTATATAAGTGTTTAGGTGTTAAGCCTGAACGCATAATAAAAGTAAACAGAGGTAGGAACCCTTTAGGGTGCACTATTAACTAATCCTAATGTCTTTGGATGGATTTAAGTAAGAGCATAGCTATTAGGACCTAAAAGATGGTAAACTATGCTTAAATAGGGTAAAGCTAGAGGAAACTCTAGTAGAGGCTTACAGCAGTTCTAACGTGCAAATTAATCGTTAAATTTGGGTATAGGGGCGAAAGACTAATTAAACTATCTAGTAGCTAGTTCCTGCTAAAGTTTCCCTTAGGATAGTAGTAACGTATTTAGTTTTATAAGGTAAAGCAAATAATTAGAGGCCTAGGGGTTAAAACAACCTTTACCTATTCTTAAACTTTAAATATATAAGAAGTCTTTATTACTTAATTAAACGTAGACACTTGAATATACTGTTACTAGTAGGCTATTTTTAGTAAGTAGAACTGGCGATGCAGGATAAACTAAACGCAGGGTTAAGGTGCTAGAATATACGCTTATTAGACACTATAAAAGGTATTAGTTCATCTAGATAGCAGGACAGTGGCTATAGAAGTTAGAATCTGCTAAGGAGTGTATAACAACTTACCTGCTAAATAAACTAGCCCTAAAAATAGATAGCGCTTAAGTGTGTTACCTATACCCCGCCGCCGGAGCAAGATTTAAGCCCCAGCGAGTAGGTAGGCGTAGAGGCTCATAATAAAGCCTTGGGGGTAACCCCAGGTAGAACGGCCTCTAGTGCAGATCTTGGTAGTAGTAGCAAATACTTAAATAAGAACTTTAAGGACTAAAGTGGGGAAAGGTTCTGTGTAAACAGTAGTTAGATACGGGTTAGTTAATCCTAAGAGATAGGGTAATTCTGTTTTAATGTAGGCGCTTACGCCTCGCCCTTAAAAGGGAAGCCGGTTAATATTCTAGTACCTAGATGTAGATTCTCCGCAGTAACGTAACTAAGAGCGGAGACTTTAGTAGGAGCCCTAAGAAGAGTTCTCTTTTCTTCTTAACGGTCTATTACCCTGAAATTGGTTTGTCTAGAGCTAGGGTTTAATAGCTGGAAGAGCGCTGCACTTTTGCGGCGTTTAGTGCGCTCCTAACAAACCTTGAAAATCCACTTAAAGAAATAGTTTTTACGCTAGGTTATACTTATAACCGCAGCAGGTCTCTAAGGTAAAAAGCCTCTAGTTAATAGAATAATGTAGATAAGGGAAGTTAGTAAAATAGATCCGTAACTTCAGGAAAAGGATTAGCTCTAAGGGTTAGGTATGTTGGGCCTTGGGGAGAAGTCTCTAGCGCAGAAGGGCACTAACCGTAAGGTAGGCGCCTTTTAGCGCTGGGGTACAGGCACCCTTAGTAGGCTTCGGCCGTCCGGCGTACGCTTAACAACTAACTTAGAACTAGTACAGATAAGGGGAATCTAACTGTCTAATTAAAACATAGTATTATAATAGCTAGAAAGTAGTGTTAACATAATGTAATTTCTGCCCAGTGCTCTAAATGTTAAAGCGAAGAGATTTAACTAAGCACGGGTAAACGGCGGGAGTAACTATAACTCTCTTAAGGTAGCTAAATGCCTTGTTATCTAATTAGTAACGCGTATAAATAGATTAACGAGATTCCTACTGTCCCTATCTACTATCTAGCGAAACTACAGCCAAGGGAACAGGCTTGGCTAAATTAGCGGGGAAAGAAGACCCTATTAAGCTTAACTCTAGTTTAACATTATAAAAAGACATAGGGGGTGTAGAATAAGTAGGAGCTTCGGCGCTGGTAAAATACTACTACCCTTATTGTTTTTTTACTTATTTAATAAAGCGGAGCTGGGCCTTACTACCTAACTTCTAGCGTTAAGGTCCTTTATGGGCCGATCCGGGTTAAAGACATTGTTAGGTAGGGAGTTTAGCTAGGGCGGTATATCTGTTAAACTATAACGTAGGTGTCCTAAGGGGGACTTATAGAGAACAGAAATCTCTAGTAGAGTAAAAGGGCAAAAGTCCCCTTAATTTTAATTTTCAGTGTAAATATAAACTATAAAAGTGTAGCCTATTAATCCTTTAGTCCCTCAAAATTTAAGGCTAGAGGTGCTAGAAAAGTTACTACAGGGATAACTAGCTTATAGCAGCTAAGCGTTTATAGCGACGTTGCTTTTTAATCCTTCGATGTTAGCTCTTCCTATTATACCGAAGCAGAATTCAGTAAGCGTTGGATTGTTTACCCACTAATAGGGAACGTAAGCTGGGTT